TGTGCAGATGCTTGCATAAGTGTCCCTCCTCCTCTCTGGAAAGCGGCCCAAGAAAAGTGACCATGTCAGTCTTATTCATGGTTTATATTCCTAGTTCATGCTTGTTGGTTATTTTATTGGATGGATGGATGGATGGATGGATGGGTAGGTGGGTGATTTGCCAGGTTATGATCAGAACTCTTTGCATAGAGAGGCAGTCTGACAGAGTAGTTAAGAGTGTGTGCTCTACATTAGCTATGAGACTTTGGGTCAGTTTTTCAATTTCTCAATGCCTCAGTTTCCTCATGTATAAAACGAGTATAGAAAGAGTGCCTTCGTTATAGTGTTGTTAAGGGAACTGCATAAGATAATACATATGAAGTGGTTAGCAAAGCTCTGAGAGTTACTCAATAAATATCTGCTATTATTACCAATGTGGAATGGCACTCTCCTGGGTGGCAGTTTTCTGTTCAAATATTGCATCCCTGCCCTTTCAGCTCTATTATAATATCAAAGGATGTCAATGAGGAATTTCAAGCTAAAGTTATCACTTTGAGTTCAAGATCTCAGAAAAGATTAAAAAGAAAATTTGGAAACGACTATAAGTAGGATATTGAACAATAAAATTTTTAAAAGTTCAAGAGGCATGTCTAGAGCAACATTTCTCAGGCAATACAATGGCTCTCCAGCTCTCACCACACCCTCCACAAATATCAGAGTACCAGTTCATCTCTGTTCTGGAACACACTTGGTACGCCTCATAGAATGTCATGCCCAATAAGCATCAGTGAAAGTTCACTGATGCAAAAGAAAGAAAGAAAAGTGGGGGGGGGGGGAATTCATTTGAAGTAGAATCTTATCTAAACCTAAGAGTGTTATATTATCTTTGTTTCTTTTGAAAATCTAATAATCCTCTTTTTGTGTAAGACCTTGAGTAGAGTTATCATACTACTTCCTCATATGCAGTTACGTATTACCTTCTAAATGCTTCCTTCCTTCCTTCCTTCTATCTAAATGCTACCTTTCCTATCAGAGGAAATTCATTTGGCCTCTTCCCCAACCATGAGGGAAGTATCATTTTTTGTATCTTTTAGTCATCCATTATAAAGTAATTTTTAAGTAAATTAGTTTATTGTCATCTCATTGATAGAAAAAAATAGGCATAGAAAGAATATGTAACTGACCCTAATACTTCACTTACCAACTCTTTTTATTCCTTGAGGCCACAGATATTTTATCTACTCCACAGGGACAGCTTGGTCCTTACATCCTATATAATAAAAGCCTAATATGCAAATCAACCGAACAGCGGAACAACCAGTCGCTATGATGCACACTGACCACCAGGGGGCAGACGCTCAATGCAGGAGCTGCCCCCTGATGGTCAGTGTGCTCCCACAAGGGGAGCACTGCTCAGTCAGAAGCCTGCTCACGCTGGCGAGCGCAGCAGCGGTGGTGGGAGCCTCTCCCACCTCCGCAGCACCACTAAGGAGCAGCGAGCAGGCAGGCAGTAAGGAGTGAGGGGTCCCAGACTGTGAGTAGGCACAGGCTGGGCTGAGGGACCCCCGCACCCCCAGTGCACAAATTTCGTGCACCAGGCCTCTAGTTTTTAATAAGATGTTTCATTGCCTAAAACTTTAAACAAAGAAAAGATTGAATCGTGTTGGCCTAGTTCTAGTTTTGATGGGCAGGAAAATCAATTTATAATATAGGACAAAATGTTGTTCCACTGGTTTCCTCCATTTAGCAGGAAACAAACACTGATGTGAACATGAACAGGTGATATGGTACCCCATGACCTTTGGGATGAATTCTTTCTTCCAGACCAACGGGCATCGCCATATTACCCTCTTACATCAAACTTTCTGAAGGTTCAATAGAGTCACCTGAAAGGAATCTCTTAGAAGGAGTGGAAATAAAATGCAAGTAGTGAGGAATAGAGTGAAGAAATAAAATGGAGTCTCTATGGTCAAGCTGCTGAATTGTTAAAATCAAGTAGGCTGAGCCTTGAAAAATGATTCTATTCTTGCTTTCACTATCTGGAAACTTAAACCTTTGAACCTTCCAGTTGTGCCTGGAATATACATGTATAAATCCTATAAGATAACCTTCTAACAGCCCTTAAGGATTTAGGGGAAAAAAATGTTTAGTTGACCAGACCACCTGGCACCCAGCCTCCAGACCACCTGGCATCTATCATACAGAGTGACACACAACCGGACACATGGCATTTGGCTGATAACTGTCCTGGATCAATACAAGGGCCAATAATGCAAGACTGATTATTCTCAAAGATGTGACTTTTACAATAAGAACTCTTAACTTTTCTTTTTCTTCAGAACAGTTCTAGGTTTTAACTAGCTGTGTTTCCAGTTGTCAAACTCTAAGACCCTTGAATAAATCTTTTATCATTTTTTCTATTAAAGCTTCCTGATTCATTTATGCTTGATTGATATTAGAAAAATAAGAGAAACACAATAATAATTGTGATAAAAGCAACCCTCAGAAGATGTTGTCCATTATCTGTATAAACAGTTTCCCTAATGGAATTCTCACTACTTCAACCAAGCAACCTCTTCCCCTTGAGGTAGCTCATATTGATTAAAGGTTTTCTCAAGAATCATCTCTGAAAACAATAAAACTATTACAAGCCTTCCCCTCCATGACAGCTATAATACCACTTAAAACGTCTTAGATCTGTTAAGACCTCCATGACATGCTCTCCCCACTAACCTTTTCTCAACATTTCCTGTTGGAAATCTTTCAGACACTCTCCATCTAGCTTCCTAGGGTGTCTGAAGTGACGGTTTTTAACAGCTGGAAGAAGGATGCTCATCAAAGTCAAGAGCGGTGGCCCCCTTTTCTCAGCCATGGCACAGTACTTCTATAAATACATGCATAAGAATATTGGTACTATGGTCTGAATATGTACCCCTGAAATTCATGTTGAATTCTAACTCCCAAAGGTGATGGGAAGTGCTTAGGTCATGAGGAGGGAGCCTTCATAAATAGGATTAGTGTTCTTATAAAAGATGCTCCAAAGCCCAGCAGGTGTGACATAGATGGTTAAGTGTCTTCCCATGCACCAAGAGGTCACCGATTTGATTCCCAGTTAGGGCACATGCCTGGGTTACAGGCTCAATCTTCAGTAGGGGGCATGCAGGAGGCAGCCGGTGGATGTTTCTCTCTCTCTCCCTTCCTCTCTCTGAAATCAATAAAAGATACCTTTAAAAAAAGAGAGAGAGGCTCCAGAGACATCCCTCGCCCCGTCCACCATGTGAGGACCCAGCAAGAAGGTGCTGGCTATGAACCAGGAAGAGGCCTTCACCAGAATGCAACCAGGCCAGCAACTTGATCTAGTCTCCAGAAATGTGAAACATTTCTGTTGTTTATAAGCTACCCAATCTGTAGAATTTTGCTATAACAACCCAAATGGACTAAGACAATTGGATCACTTATTTATTTGCCAACCATATCACAACACTATTGGCTCATAATGAGCTTGAAGTCAAGTAAAATTTCTTAGTCTTTTTTACTTAAACTGGCTCACAGGCCACATTTCCCCCCCATATTACCCTTGGGCAATTGACTTTGTGAACTAAAGAACAAGACTTTATATTTCCCCCAAAGTTTTACCCTCAGTCATTCTCTTATCTGCTCAGTCTTTTAATTCCACCCCATAACTTGAGTTCATCTGCAAATTTGACCACCCATACTTCCTATGACTTAATTCAGGTGGACACTAATGCTACAATGGTCAGAACAAAATACATAGCCCCTGGGCTCACCACTAAAGACCCACTCACCATCTTTATAAAACACTTCTTAAAATTATTTCATTTAATTCTTACAACGCTCCTATGAATAAGATACTATCATCATTCTACATGTGAGGACAGAGATTCAGAAAAGACTACCTGAATTGCCTGATGTGATACAGCTAATAAACAACAAATAAGAAATAAGCCTTGCCCGGCTGGAGTGGCTCAATTGGTTGAGCATCGTCCTGTGCACAGACCTGGGTTTTGGGTTCAATCCCCAGCCGGGGCATGTACGGAAGGCAAGGGATCAATGTTCATGTGTTTCTTTCTCTCTTTCTCTCTCTCTCTCTCTCTCTCTCTCTCTCTCGGCAAGGGATCGATGTTCATATGTTTGTTTCTCTCTCTCTCTCTCTCTCTCTCTCTCTCTCTCTCTCTCTCTCTTTCTCTCTCTCTCCCCATTCCTTTCTCTAAGCATGTCCTCAGGTGAGGATAAAAGAAAAAAAAAAGAAACAAGCTTTAGGGTTTCTGTTTGCAGTGTTTTTTTTTCAAAGACAGATTTTTAAATACAGTGATTAAATAAATATGCAATCTCTGTTTCCTTCCTCCCCACCCAAGGGTATCAACAGAGACTAATTAAAATCAAGAAACCTTTTCCAGAAACCCAGTAGGTAAAACAGACTAAAAGCAAGCTGCTTTGATAGAAGCAAGGGTGGGGGGACACTTAGCCTCATCTCTCTGTCCCACCTGGGACATCCCCTCAACCTTGCCCTAGATCAGTGATGGCGAACCTTTTGAGCTCGGCATATCAGCATTTTGAAAAACCCTAACTTAACTCTTGTGCCATGTCACATATAGAAATTTTTTGATATTTGCAACCATAGTAAAACAAAGACTTACATTTTTGATATTTATTTTATATATTTAAATGCCATTTAACAAAGAAAACTCAACCAAAAAAATGAGTTCGCGTGTCACCTCTGACACGTGTGTCATAGGTTCACCATCACTGCCCTATATGTTCGCCATCACAGTCCTTAGAGTACATTGGGAAGTCACTAGCCAGGTGCATGTCCTCAAACTGTAACCTTTTCTAAAAGTAATTTTTAAAATAAGACTAGGTTGTCATCCCTTATTTTTATAATACATTCTAAAATTTTGTGGGAGAACACCCATCTAAGGTTTAATAATCTTTTACAAGAAACACAAATGTTTTAAAATTTGAAGACATCTTTGGGTTTATTCAAATGTTTATTTTAACAGATGAAGAAACAGCAGCCCAGAGAGGAGAAGTAACCCAGAATTATTCCGTGGAGGAGCAAGAACAAGAACCCAAGCCTGGACCCTCCTGGGCAGGTAAATTCTTCTAATCATACCATGGAGTCTCGCTTTTAGAAACCTGACCCTTTTGATTATAAAACAACACCTTTAACAAGACGAAGTTTCTGGTTCCCACTTAAGTAGCTAACAGAGACATATTATATACTCAATGTTATAATGGCATTTAAGATGACACAAAGGGGTAAAGTGTGGCAACTAGCTTTAGTAGTGAGGCCTTGAAACACTGGCTCTTAGTTAACAGGCATTACACAGGTTCCTTTGAAGTATATGCAGAAAACTTCATGCAAAATTTGCAAATATTCCAAGGAGTTCATACATGTTCCCCATGCCACCCCCCAACTTTTGGCCTCCAGGTTAAGAACCTCTGGCCAATTCCAGTACAAGTGCCAGTGTCGGGCTTGCATAGCACCAGCTACTATCTTATTTCTGGGTCTGTTGGTTAGAGGCTGCTTCTGTGTCAACATCCTTCATCTTTTATTTAAATGGAGCAGCATCTTATTCTGGAGGAACTTTGATGAAGAGAGGAGTAATGTTTTAATAAGTTATTAGTTAACCAGATGGGGCAAATTAATAGAGAAATATAAGATGAAAGCATTTTCTTTCAAAAATGTTAACAATAAAAGTGGGGATGGTCAGTGTTCATAATAGGAATTTATTTTCTTTCTGTTTCTTTTTATTTTAAAAAAAGAAAGGAAAGGAAATAGAATTTTTAAAAAACATAGATTACCACTAGCTGCCTACTCACTTTTATTAAACCAATAGCCAATGGGGAAAAAAAGAGTAGGGGGTGTGGAAAAAAAGAAATAGATGTATCTTCTGAATGATTGTTTCTTAATCCTTCCCTTTTGCTAGAAAAGATTTATGGTTCTGAAATGGTTCACAACAATTTCTTCATTTAAAATAGTTTTTCCAGCGGGAATAGCTCAGTGGTTGAGCATCAACCTATGAACCAGGATGTCATGGTTCAATTACTGGTGAGGGCACATGCCCAGGTTGGGGGCTCAATCCCCAATTTGGGGCATGCACGAGGCAGCCGATCAATGATTCTCTCTCATAATTGATGTTTCTATCTCTCCACCTCCCTCCTCTCTGAAATCAATAAAAATAAAATAACCAGAAAAAAATAGTCTGGGCAGCTCTGATATTACTTTAAAGTTATTGATAATAAGGCTTGATTTTACTAATTCAAAAAGTATCTGATGGACACGCAGCATTTGGACAGCACTGCTACGGGAGGCAGTATGGTGTGATGAACCATTTTGGAGTGAGAGAGTCCAGGACTGAATTCCAGTATTACCTCCTCCTTAGCTTTGACAATAAATGAGGTACAAAAACTTAATGAGCCCCAGTTTCCTAATCTTTGAAATGAGGTCATATATATTTTATCTCCTTTATGACATTATGAATAAACATTTTGAAGAGTAACCTCTCTTAAAAAGACTTGTAATTTAATAACTAATAAAGTTCCTATGTTGTGCCTTAGAAATGATCTCATTCTCCTTTATTCTTTGCCTGGTATTCATAGCCTTAGCAATAGTGCATTAGCATAATGTGTAGTAATCATAACAGTTAACATTCATTTAGCCCTTCCTATGTATTATCCTAAATACTTTACACTTTTTAATCTTCCCAGAAATCATATGAAGTTCTATTATCATTCCTATTTTCCAGTCGAGGAAATAAAGTCCAAGCTGTGGAGTAGCTTAGCCAGGGTCAAACCCAGACAGAATCCAGAGCCAGAGCTTGTTAACAACTCTCCAACTTGCCTTTTGCCAGTATTCTCACCCAGCTCCCTGTGTGTTCACCATGGGGCGCATTAACTAAAGGGGTTCAAATATATGGTGACAGGTGGAAACTGAACTTTTGCCTGTGAACATGCAATAGAGTATGCAGATATCAAATTACAATGTTGTATTCCTGAATTTATATAATGTTATTAACCAATGTTACCTCAATATGTATAGTTAATCTTAAAAATGGAAATCATGCCCTGGCTGGTTTGGCTCAGTGGATAGAGCGTCAGCCTGCGGACTGAAGGGTCCCAGGTTCGATTCTGGTCAGGGGCACATGCCTGGGTTGTGGGCTCGATCCCCAGTGGGGGACTTGCAGGAGGCAGCCAATCCATGATTCTTTGTCATCATGGATGTTTCTATCTCTCTCCCACTTCCTTCCTCTCTGATATCAATAAAAATATATTTTAAAAAAATAAAAATGGGAATCATTTAAGTTAAGCACCTCGCCAGTGCCTGCCACAGTGGTACTTAATAAATGCTGTTTCTGTTCCTGAAGACTTGTACATGATAAGATTCATGTATCTTAATCCAAATATCATTTTAAAATATATTTTTATTGATTTCAGAGAGGGAGAGAGAGACATAAACATCAATGATGAGAGAGAATCATTGATTGGCTGCCTCCTGCACACCCCTTACTTAGGATGGAGCCCTCAGCCCAGACATATGCCCTGACCGGGAATTGAACCATGACCTTCTGATTCATAAGTCTACGCTCAGCCACTGAGCCATACCGGCTGGGCTTAATCCAAATATCTTTATGTCTTAGGATATTCCCTCTGGTATTATTTTTTTTAAAAAAAGTATTTTATTGATTTTTTACAGAGAGGAAGGGAGAGAGAGATAGAGAGCTAGAAACATCGATGAGAGAGAAACATCGACCAGCTGCCTCCTGCACATCTCCTACTGGGGATGTGCCCGCAACCCAGGTACATGCCCTTGACCAGAATCGAACCTGGGACCCTTCAGTCCGCAGACGGACGCTCTATCCACTGAGCCAAACCGGTTTTGGCCCTCTGGTATTCTTGACAAACAAACCCACATTCATTCAAAGAGGGAAAAGAACATTTCGTCTCACCCAGTTTAGGCCTATAGTTTTATCGGTTACAAAATTTTTTGGTTGAAAATATTTCTCCTAATATGCCCAGTTGTTGTGAGCCTTCTCTATGTTTACTTGAGAATAAACAAAGTTTTTAGGAAACAAACCATTGTTACCCATTTAAAAGAACAAGTTGGAGTTCAGCACTTCTCCCCTTTTCACTACAAGCGTACCCATCGCCATACACTTAGATGGCAAAAGAGAAGGAAACCAACAGTAAATACTGTGTCCTCACTGTTCTTCTCAGGAGAATGAAAAATCCACTTCTCTAAATTGTCAGCAAACTTTCTTTCTTTTAGTACAGTTTATCATTTAAGTAGCTCACTTCTAAGTACAAGATCACAAAGTGTAATTAGAGTACGTAATGTAATTGCCTAAAAGCAAGTTTTGACATAACTCTATAAACTCCTGCCTTTCCCTTCTCTCCTCCTCCCGCCCCCCCACCCCCCATCACTTCAGTAACTAGCTGACCTGGAATGCTAACCAGCCCAGTAGGGAAATGCCCCTGGATCTGGGGGTTTTCAGAGAGAACATGGCAACAATGCAGACTCCTAGAGAAAGCCTAGCTCTCTACTCATTCTCCTAAAACACAGTAATAACTGAGATACAGAAGTAGGTCAGCTGAGGGCTGTGAACAAGTAACAGGCTACATTGCTATTGTCACAAAAATCACTCCTATGAAAGATCAGTGTTGCTAGTCACCAAAATAGGAACAACACTGAACTCATCACTAGCAGTTTCCAGATTGTGGAATAAGAAATAAAGAATATGCCAGAAGAGCCCTAGCCAGTTTGGTTCAGTGGATAGAGTGTCGGCCCATGGGCTGAAGGGTCTTACGTTTGATTCTGGTCAAGTGCACCTATTCGGTTGCAGGCTCCATCCCAGCTCTGGTGTGGGCACATGCAAGAGGCAACCAATGGATGTGTCTTTCTCACATCAATGTTTCTCTCTGTGTGTCTCTCCCCCTCCCTTCCACTCTCTCGAAAAATATTATTAAAAAAAAAAAAAGAATATGCCAGAAGAATGAGGAGGAAAAGGAAGATGAACAACAGGAAAACAAAAGGTTTTAGGAGTAAATGTATTCAATGTTACCAAAAAAAAATTACAAAGAAAACAGAAAATTGGTATAAGAAAATTCTATTGGAAGAGTTTTGGTTGACCAACTACCTATGCAACCAGATATCCTTTGATAGAACTCTGGGAGCAGGACTCAGCGGGTATGCTTTGGACAAGTCGGTACTGCAGTAAGTTCCCTCCTGGCCCTCAGTTTGTTCTTGAACAAAAGTCTGCTTTCAAAGACCATCAAATATAACTGATAGATAGAGATGACATAAAAGCTTAATTTTTCATGGTCTGACGTCTAGCTCCTACGAAAACCAAGTTCTTAGAACCACACAGTAAGCAAGTAGTTCCTTTCCCAAATCCTGGGTTTGATGGCCAAGAGCTGGTAATGAAAGAGAAAGGCAGAACTGCTATGATATGCATGGAACACAGTTCTCAGGAAAGGGGTTTGTCATGACAGAAAAGTAGTTTCGGCCAAATGATTTAGCCACTTTTCCCATTCTTACTCCCTTTCAAGTGCAGTGAGTATTGGGGTCTTATGAGCCCCTTATTTCACATTCTTATAAAAAATAGATGGGCACATCCTAGAATTTATCATTTCCACAAGTACTGTAAGAAATTAAGCTACTAGAAGTTCACTGATGCCAGGAAGAAAACTAAACATGTCAACCCTCCTCTCAGAAGGTGTTTTGGTACATTGGCAGCTCCCAATTTTCACAAAAAGAAAGGAACCCCAATTGGGAACTCACAATTATTATTTGGAGATCTTTGGGGTTCTTTACTCAGTTTTGGATGGTACATCTATGAAATTTTGCCAGACCAGTAATACCCCATTACAAATTAAGAATCTCAATGAATTTTTAAAAATATTATTCAGACCATTTCTAAGTATATTTTTCAATTTCAGTCCATCATTTTTAGAGTTATTCACTGATATTTAATTTTTTAATTCTGGTAAAATACATATAAAATAACAGTTTATTATTCTTACCCGTTTTGAAACGTGCAGTTCAGGAGTGTTAAGTATATTCACATTGTTGTGCAACCACAGTGTTTTCATC